GGCCCAGTGTCCCTCACAAACGGGCCCGTGTGGTCCACGCTTGGGAATGGGCTTTTCAGTCACCCAGGTGTCAGAATCAACAGGAATTTGGACATGGGTGGGTTAGTTACGTCACATGAAACTCTGGTTTGAACTTTGAACGTCATGTTATTATTTTATTTTAAATTATTTATTATTATATGTTAAAGTTAAACACAAAAAGGAGAGATAGCTGAGTGTTTTGGAAAGCGACAGATCGCTATTAATCCATTGTACGCTACTATACGTACCGAGGGTTCGAATCGAATCGCTTTCTTTCCGTTTTCAATTAGAGAATTTTTTAATGCAAATATATTCAACTACGCTTTTTGCATCCTGGTTTACGTCCCGGAGCTAATCAGACGCAAGTCGCTCCTAGGGCGGATTCCGCCCTTTACTCCTCAGCTTATGGCGTTTATTTATTAGTAGCCATTTCCAGTTATTATCCCAAACACCCAAGGGCAAGTCCTTAACACGTTACTCACCCGTCCGCCACTGAATATATTTGAATTTTGAATGCTAAAGCTGCAGTCCTCATGAAGATAGAACTCTCCTCTGGAGGGTTTAGACAAGCAAGGCAAACAGGGATCAGAATGGTAGGGATGTCATGAAGCACATGGGCGGAGTCTGAGTTTAGACAGAAGCGGCAGTGTTTGTAGCTTCCAGGCCTTTCTTGCCATCCATGTTTATCTGACAGGCTACTACAGTAGACCTGAGAGGAAATGGAGAAGCAAGGCAAGCTGACAGTCAATCCTCCATGATGCTGGAGTAATCAATGCTGATCAGGGCTCCTTCGGCCAGACGGAAGGAAGCGTGCGGGTGTTCAAGATGTAATGTTGTATTCCGACTTGCCGGTGGAATAGGAACCGGACTGATGCTCCCCAGAATGGAAATGGAGCCAGGACCATAAGGACCTGTTTAAAAAAAAAAAAAAAAAAAAAAAGAGACACGGATCGTCTGCCACGTGTCTGGAAGTTGTCGTTCACCTTGTCGTTTGCATTCTCTGGGATCGGATATGATCTGATCTGATCGGATCGGATCGGATCGGGTCGGATCGGATCGAATCGATCAGAGCCGTCAAAAGTCGCAAGATCTAAAGATAGAAACACGAGTCGCATGCGACGTGTCTGGCTGGCCTTTCTCACATGCCACGTGTCTGGATGACGTCATTCATCTCATCTTCGTCATACTGTCGGATCGGAGAGGATCAGAGCCGTTCTCCGAGATCGCAAGATCTAAAAGGCGACACGTGTCAAAGGCCCGGCCAATATCTGGTCCGGCGTCAGTCATCCTGTCG